TTACTCCTTAAAAATGACCATGTGTGGATTACATGATGAATTCAGAATAAAAAGTGGTCAAAAGTTTAGATTGGAACTGAATTTTACCTACTTGATTTTGTAAGGAACGTAAAATTATCATTTTAAAAGTGAGGTATAAAAAAATTCATTTAACAAAAATATCAAGAACAGTTTTTCTAAAAACTGCTATAACGTGCTAGCCTCCAATATAGAAGTTCGAGGACCCTCAAGTTCAAAATTCGAATGATGCATTCAAAGCATACAAATAACTTGTTTGTTGACATATTTTCCCCAAGGATTTGAGACTTGAACCGTCAAAATCTTAGTCTATAAAAGGATGAAAATGATTAATGATATAAAGTTGCATGCGTGTATGTTCCATAGTAATTACCGTCCAAACTGTTTGTTTTGATCAGGAGAACCTATTTGATGGTGCGCATGATACTCTATTTTCATCTTTTTTTCAAGCAACGTGCAATAGTTATCTTCCACCTTTGATACTTACTATACCATAAACTACACTTTCATGATCTTCTTTAGAAATCTTCAATGACTAAAGATCAATGAGAGCGATGTTAAAAATCATCATAATAATAATAATAATAATAATGAAAGTGATGTTTAGGCGGTACAATATTACCTTTTTCCTTCTGGCATTGACGGATGAAGCATGAATTTAAGAGGTTTCGTGACAGCGCCAAATGCAGATATGAACGTCTTGACAAAAGATAGAAAAATTATGCCAAACTTGTTTCCTCGTCAACGTGACTTGTACGTTTAAATAGTTGGTAGAATATAGAAATGTGGGACTGGGATGGAAAGCTGAACATTTTTGTCAAAACTAGAATCTTTTTTACGGGTAAATAGTGGTGCTGGAAGAGAAATTTAGGGACCATATGATGGAGACAATGAGTCAGTACGTAGTCTTATTTCATTAACAGTGATTTCGTTTGCAGCACAGTTAGCTACCGACAGCGCTACTTGGTATCGTCATTCTTCCTTGAGTTAGGTTTGATTTTGTTAACGGAGATAACTTTCCTCTACTCCCGTGGTGGAAAGCAAAAAGATTTGCAAGTTGGAAATAAGCAACATTTTTCATTTTTTCCCATCTCTTTTTGGTAGTGAATATATATACTCTCTTAAATATTGTACCCTACAGAAAAAATTTCAGTTGTTCACAAGTTTTTGTGATATATTAGTTAAAAATTTTCTCTTAATTTCTTTCTTCACTTCTTTTTCTTTGTCTTTTTTTTTTAAAAAAAAAAAATTTCCCCTCCATTTCGAAGAAAATATCAAGAATAAGGGGCGATACGGAGACCAGAAAAATCCTATTGCGCTGAGAATAGCTAAAGATGACATGCAACTGCGCAAGTTTGTGCAAACAGATCCGAGATGAATTGCTAAATCCCAATTATATATACGGGACGCTGAAATTGATATGAATCATTGACGCAGAAAAAAGAAATCCAATCTTAGGAGTGACTGAAAAATTTGCCTTCAACCTAGTTAGAAGTCATTTGCATCTTTTTTTTTTTTTTTTGGTGGTATTTTTTGCTAATCTAAAAGAAAATTGTTCGTTGTAATCTGCTAGGGAGACATGTTCTGACTATTTATTGCATTTATTTTCAAATGCCATGCCATAGACTCTACTAGCTCACACCTGCAATAGAATTCGAACAATCGAATTTTTAGGGCAAGACCTAAAAGTTCCCGTTTTACACCTTTTCTTTGGTAATATTTTTTATACACAGTTAGTGTGTAAAAATAGATTTAGATCACAACACATAAAAATAAAATCAAATTTGAAATTTAAACGACTGTCAGTGTATAAAAAGTTAATCTTTTTTGTATTTTTTAAATCTCCTCCAGCCAAACAGCTTTTTTTTTTTATTAATACTTCAAGTTTATATATATATATATATATTTTTTATAAATATCTTTGTTTCTATTAGTTGCACAATTAAGTCGGTGTGCCCTAGACTAATTGATCTCCGGACCGCCTCCTAGTATCCTATTCTCCAACAACACTCGTCTCCTAATCGGAGGTCAGAATTAGGAAGTTTCCCCCACCAAATGTGGCACCTCCTTCAAATATTCTAGAATGACATGCTTGGAATTAAAAAACACAAGCCGCACATTCTACAGGGAAGCCCCCAAAAGAATAAGTTGAACCGGTAAAGCAGGCATGCTTGATAGTTGGTAGTACAAATAGTTTGAGATCAATCAATGCTGGAATCACAAAGATTGCCGCAGAAAGTTGAAAACGACTCGCAACAATACTGCCAATATCTACACGAGTCCATGCCCTTTTTTTCTCTCTCTCTCTCTCTCTATTTTTTTTTTTCTTTGGTTTGGCTAATGGTTGAGATATGCCATATTTTGCAAATGTGAAACTAAAGTGAGGAAATGTCTAAATGAAGGGATGCGACAAATCTGTACATTCACATAGTATATTAGGTATATACTGAGTACACTAATGAATGCTCCCTGAACACTCATTAAAATTTTTATTTTATTTTTTCATCTCCTATTTTTGGATGCAGTACCAAGCACTTCAAAGACCACCTTCTGATCTTTGAAGCCATATTCATAGGAATGGCAATGGGGAGGAAACATTCCACCCACCCAGCGTCGATCACTTTCCCTGCGGGTGCCGGTAGTGTATAATTAGTAATTGGCATAAATATATAATTAGTAATTTATTATAAATGTATTAGTATAACTAATCAATAATTTATATTAGTATAAATATATAATTATTAGTATAATTAATAATATTAAATATTTATGTGTGTGTGTGTGTATATTAGACGGGTGACCGGGTAGGTATACCATCGCCCGCCGCCTCATTTTTTAATAGGGGGAGAAATGACCTCCCGTCACGCCCTATTAACCCTCTGCGGACACTCGTCCCAATTGCCATCCCTACGTATTCATTGGCTCCATCAACAAACTCTCTCATTAAAGGTCATGATGAAAATGCATCTATTGTTGGGAGAGTTTTACGGTCCCTTTTGGATACTGTACTAATGGGATAAAACTCACCATTGAAGGTAAACTAACAGTTATCAACCCGTAGATGATTTCAAAAGTTTAAATCATTAAATGATATGGCAAAATATAACCACACTAGAATCATGAATATAGTATCCAAAAGGGCCAACATTTTTCTATATTGTTATCTCTACTTTGGCCTGAGACAGTTTTTTTTTTTTTTTGGGAAGTTCTACAGTAGCTTTTGGATACCATATCATTGCGTATCAATTCACCATTCATTGTATAAAAAAAGATATCAACCCTTAGATGATTTCTAAAATTTAAATTATTGAATGACATGGCAAGAGTTTATTCCCAAAAGGGATGGTAGAAGTCCTCCCTCCCTTTTTTGTGTGCTATCCACAGCAAGGAAAGGGCAAAAAGTGTTCACCATTTCCTTTTCTTTTAATATTTATTTTGTTACCTTGTTCATTTCCATGAGCATTAGCAACAAGGGCATTTGGTGACAGACAATAGGGATGGATAATCAGACGGTATAAATGCAGACTCAAAATCGACCAAAATCTATATACAAGTTAAGAAGTAGATTTAATCCCTACGTTTGCTTCCAAAAATTCTCATTTCATTAGAATTTGAAGTTTTTCGTAATAACAGAATCTTTATGGTTCCAGTAAGGAAACATCCCCTTATTTTGTTTGTATCAATGATGATATGTACGAGTCTAGGTTTAGAATAATATAATTGAAATTTTACGATCGAAATTTTAGAAATACTTGTTTCATCATGCAACAATACTGTCAACCGGAGGATGTAATGACAAATAGGAATTGCAGAATCTGCCTCAAATATTACATGGACCCAGATTACCCAAACCAAGATTAATACACTCAACTACAAGACCGTCTATACTGCAATTTTAGGACAGGGCAGTCTCGACTTCAGTGATAAACATTCCTTCTTACATCTATGTAGCTGCACGAAAATTGAAAGAAAATCAAGCAACAGGAAAATGGAAACAATAATGTTACCTCAGTTGCCTCATTTGTTCCTTGGTAGCCAATTCCTTCTTCCTAAAGATCCCAACATAAAGGTATATGCAGATCTGTACAAAATCTAAATTAATAAGCTACATGGCACGATGGGGTGTGGTGGGGTGGGGGTTCAATAACTCTCTGGAAACTGGATGATCAACCGTCTGAGTAAGCGTTCCAGTCTAGAAATATGAATAGTTAGTCGGATGATTCATAGTCCCAAGGGTCACCATTTATGGGTTAACATCCTACTGACAAATAATTATTTTTATTCGGAATTCATAACTTGTTGGCAAGAGTGCAAGGCCCAGTTTAGGAGACAAGCCATAAACACATGATAGACCCTGTCCCCTGCAGTTAGAGTTGTAGGAGACAAAAGTTTACGCATGTTCAAAGGTGCATTACATTAAACCACAGGGGAGATTCTGACGAATTTCCTAGGAACCACTTGTGGTTGTGAAGGCTTCTCTATTGCAGTTTTGTTAGACCCGGATCGAATTGGCTGGTTCAACCGATCCGATTGTAACTCGGCCTTTTTTTTTTTTTTTTTAAATTGATTTGTAGTATAATCTATTTTGGTTAAAAGTCAGTTAAAACCATCAAAAACTAAATAAACCAGTAACCCGATTCGGCTGGTTGACTCGATTCTCAAACTTTTTTTTTCCTTTTTTTCTCCAAATATAATTTGAGTTACCTAAATTGTAACACTTTCATTTATTAATAGGAATAAGAAAACGTCACTCGTTTAGTGTAAATATCAAAATTATTTGCTTTCCTAAATGATCTCTAAATCAAGATGTTTTCATCCTTATGATCTCTTTAATTTAGCATCAGTGATTCCAACTTGCATTAATTTGTTTTAATTTAGTTTTTTAATTAATTTTGGAGAATAGGCATATTTTAACCATGGATTTACATTTTTGTATATAATTATTAGGTGTATATTTGATTGCAACTCTAATACTTTTGGAACATTTTTCATGATTGGCCAAATATAACCAAGAACTTAATTTCAATATTTCTGAATCTTACAAAAATATAAAATAATTATAACATCATGCTAACGTTGGCGGGTTTTTGAAAACAGTCTGACCGATCCAATCAGTTGATCCTTGGCCGAGTAGTTTAGTTGAGTCGCTATTCTGTCCGAGTTTAACAACATTGCAGCCAATTGATGACAATTAAAGGGGTCAATCCAAGAAAATTGAACTAATCTCAAATGGGTCAAGGGACTTCTCCTAATTATTCGCATGTGACGGCCCTGTCCCTGGGACAATTCTGGATGACAAGGAAGCTAATCATTCTAGGCTGTCAAGGTGCATTACCCCTACAAATGACTATCTCAATTACTCAGGACACGCTTCCTCATGATATACTAGCAGAAAATGTGGCTTCTTGGCATCCCAGGAACCAGTTGTTAACCTTTTAGTACACATAGTTCCCTTAAGGTTTCCCCAATCAATCAGGTCTTAGTAGGGAGACATTTGCCAAAGAAATTTCTATACAATGGTGAAGGACATTATATTGACTGGGAGCTGTAAGTCTTGCTTTCAAAATCCTAACAATAAGATGGTCGAAATTTAGCTCTATGTCAGTTGATTTTCCAGGTACAGAACTAGCTACATTCGTCTAAACAACAACAAGAAGAAAGTAGTCTTGTAGCAGCAATTTCCAAGAATGCTTTTCAATTGATCTTAAATTGGCCGCACGAAATTGTGTAATCGAGAGATTTATTGCTTAGGATTCTGATCAGGATCGCCCTTTTTATCTTAAAAATCGCAAGTTCTAAACGTGCTCCAATTTCAAGTAGAAATGTCAACAAAAATAACAAGAAAGGATTCTAAACAGCCAGTCACCCGAAAATCACAAGATCCAGAGCCCGAGAACAGTATCAGAGAGGGCAATGTACAAGGGCAAAAACAAAAAGAACATACACGATTCAGTAAACTGGCAATTAAGAGGTAAGCCTATGACAACATGGACGAATATCACATTAAGCCTCTAAAACACTGAACTTCCACATTTGATTGTTTAGGATTCAAATTAACAGCTAGAAAAATTGCAACCTAAACTTTTTTTCTGAGTTTCAATTACATTTACCACCTTTATTTAATTAGTCCTGCCATAATTTCGCACTTTAAGCCACTACCAGTAACATTGAACTAATTTTGAGAACAACGATTCATAGTGATCTTACAAGTTACGACACGAATGTCGAATGAAAGCAGAGAGCATCTTCCTTGAAGATAGGGTTCAATTTATAACTTTGTGGTTAAAATTGTTTTCTGCAACCTACTTACAACTAGACAAGTCTGATTTTTTTTTTTTTTTTTTTAGAGAAGCGCTCAGATTGCAAACACCAAAGATAAGAAGATGACTGGCTAATACTCACCGTTCTCAGTTCCGCCTCCTGCAATTAAAGTAGGGCATCTCTGTTTGCCTTTGAAGCACATTCCTTCACAGAGGGCTGATCTTAGATTAGCAGGATGAAGAGCTGAGCAGCATACAGTAACAGTTGATATTTATTCCTATTTTAAGGTACCACAAAACACTAATTTAAAAACAGAGTTTGGTTAAATTAGCTACAGAAAAGTTATTCAGAACGAGGAGTGCAAAAAACAGTCCTAGAGGAGCTGAACAGCTGCAGGTAATCTTTGTTCAGACTTGAGCGAAGATTTTTAAAGCAAAATAACTGTGCGTACTTTTGACTTGACTAGAGGATGCAACAAGTCGCACATATCGGCCATTGAACTATACCCTGTAGGCATCAAAAGCATAACATCTGGTACAAATTAACTATTAATCATATAACATCCTAATCCTTATATCTTAGCTAGGATCTAGCACATAATGGTCCTGTTGCTAGTAAGCATGATTACCATTTTAGTGCATTATAAATAGTTTAACTGTACAGAGCAATTTCCCTGTGTATAGAAAGCCTATTGATTGGGAAATAAGGCCCCTGTCGACAATCAAGCATTGTTCTCAGGACCGTTTTATTAGTCATGAGAGAACAAATGCATATGCAGCAACTGTACACCACTCGTGGTGCACCAGGAGCAAGCAGATTCTTATCAAGAATCTCTACTCTCCTGAGATGATTGTTCGGCTGATCCTTAGAGATTTAAGAGGGATTGTATCCTGGTCCAATGAGAACTGGTAGAGAAAAAGAAACTCTGCTGCTGTATGTGGAACTGGGATTCCCCTTAACGTTCTTAATGAATGAGTGGGAGGACGTATTTGGTGAGAAAAGAAAAGATTAAGAAAGAAAGTGAAATCTTTCTCGCATTTGGGAGTTTTAATTGGAAAGAGCATTTGGGAGTTCTAATGGGAAAGAAGTGGAAAGAAAAGAAGGGATTCCACACCCCCCCCCCCCCTTTCAAGCTACGAGAAAACCGTCAGCCCAAAATTAGGCGGAAAGTGCGAGAAAGGAAAGCGAGTTAAGTAAATATTTTAATATATCAATTTTGCCTTTATAAAGATTATAAAATAACGTTTTCTTACGTCATGTGAATTTCAAGTTTCAAGGGTACTTATGAAAAATTAAATCTTTTCTTTTATTTCTCTTTATTTTCAAATAAAAGAAAATTGCTTCATTATCTTTCTCTCCAAAAACTCCCAAACAACATGAAGAGATATCACAATCTCTTCTTCTCTTTTCTTTTCTTTTCTAACCTAAACTTTCTCTTCTTTTCTTTTGTATCCCAAACTCCCAAACAAGCTATAATTGTTTACCGGGTTAATTCTTAAATATCTTGTTAAACCTTAAAAATATGGCTGCAAAGTAATTTGCTGCTGGATGTTCAATTGAATAGATCTCCCCCCTTTGTGTTATCTCAATTGATCTAGATAGATCACCCTTTTGATAAAATACATCATAAGTTCATTAATGACATCTGTACTAATGGTGGAAGTTACATTAGACATAAATAGGTACAAAAAATCTAAGAACGACAACAAAAACTGCAAATTTGAAAATTTAATAAAAAATTTTACCATAAAACTCCAAACATATTCAAACATCAATGTAACCCCTAGAATAGTTTTCCTCCTTTTGGCACATACATCTGTAGTACATAATTTTTTCAACTGAATATAATTAGTATATAAGTTTCAACTTCTCTTGAGTTTGCTAACATAACATGAAATGCACATGCCATTGATAAAAAGCCTAAATAACCCCAAATATTTGAAGCCTGGTTTTGTTTTCAAAATCACCATTATAGGTAACATATTTCTATGGACACAACTCTTAATTAGACTTTTTTTTTTTTTGGTGAGACATAATGAAGAACTGTTGGTAGAACTCTGTTACAAATGGTTATTTTTGATCTTTTCACTATCGGCATGTGTAGTTCATATTACAAATGAAAAAGGAATTGAAACTTATTTGCTAATTGATTTTGATTAAAGAAATTTAAGTACCAAAATTTTGAAATTGATGCAATTGAATGTTCAAATATGACAAAGTGATATAACTTTGGCCCAGTATGGAATATGGATTAGGTGTTTTTAAGGGTGTTTTTGAGAATGTATTTTGGGGTTTTTTTAGAATTTAAATTTTTTTTGGGATATCTTTTGAAAATTGGAACTAATACCACCCTCCACCCCCTCACTCCTCCTCTCTCCTCCTTCCTCCTAGTCTACCACTCCTTTCCCTACTTCCTCCTCGTCTCTCCTCCCACACTTCATCACCCCCTTCGTCCTTAATCGCAGCTTTTGGCTACAATAAGAAAGTCATGGCTAGAGATTGCATCAAAGGGAAGGATGGTGGCAGGGGAGAAAAGGAGGGTGGCAGGGGAGAAGAGGAGAATGAAGGAGAGGAGAGAACGAAGAAGAAGGTGAAAGGAAAGGGAGTCGTGGCTTCTGGCTGCGACAAGAAAGTCGCATCCTCAGAAGGAGGGGAGTGGCTAGGGAGAAGAGGAGAGAGGGAGAGAGAGGAGGAGAAAGGAGAGGAAGAGAAGAAGAGGAAGAAGGAAGAAGAAGGAAGGGAAGGCGTGATGATGGCGGTGAAGGATGGGAGAGGGCCAATAATGACAATGGAGGAATGAGGAGAGAAGGGATGGTGGTAGGTGGAAGTAGAAAAGGTGGGGGAATTTTTTTAATATTTTTTGTTTTTGTAAGTGTATTTGAAATGGTATTTTTAGAATTATTTTAGAAATTGTTTTTAGAGTTGTTACTGTTTTACAAAATTTTTTTTGAAAAAAAAAGAATGAATATCCATACAGAGCTTGGAGAAAATTAATTTTTTCCCTATTTTTAGATTTAAAACCTAGTTTTGACCGTTGCTTAATAGAATTTACAAGTCTTAGTTTCCGTTTTGGGTGTGTTTCATAAGAGGAATGCCCTTAACTTGTGTACATATCTTGGAAATCATTGATGAAAAGATATTGAGTTTTAAAGAAAAACTTGTGTAGTTTTTTCTAATAGGAGTTGAATGAAAACTTGTTCTTCGTGTAATACAGTGGACTTTCTATGGATCCAACAAATCATGTAGAACTGACTTTTTTTCGGCAAGCAGGCACTAACAGGTCTGAATACATGCTACACATGTATAAAATTTAGAGGTCAAATTCAAAGTGAGTGATGAGTTATTCACCCAAAATCACTAGTGTATAAAATATAATGGTCTCTATAGTCAAGATTAATTCTTTAATATATATGTACGTGTGCTGCTTCTTGCGTTAGATACCTTCTTAATTCAAGTTCACCCACTGTTTTTTCATTCAAAAAATAATTAAGCCCCCGTCTAACTATTTTGCACAACCACGAAGTATCCTTTCCACATTTCCAAAACCTAATTCAAGAAACTTCAGTGGTCAGTGGTCAGCATATCTCTCTAACCTTCTCCTTTTCCATCCTCTTTCCCCTCTTCCGTTAAGATTTGAAGTTTCCCTCTAACCAAAACAAGTAAATAAATATATACCCTTTACATAATTCTTGGGATAATCAATCACATCTAATCCAAATGTCGAACCAAAGGACAACTAGCTTATCAAATAACAGCTATTCCATGATTGTCAGCTTATAGTTGTTTGCTTAGTGTCTGGGATAACCGCCATAGATGTATGACTAACCTGTACATTTTGCAAACTCCCAAGTCCTGACTCCTGACTAAGTGGCCTTGCCCTAACAGGCTCCCTGGGCGGTAAGCACGAGCTATGGCCGCCAAACATCTGATATACACTTCGCCAAGAAAGACAACAATGAGAATTTTTCGCATGCAGCAGCAGCTATTTGAACTGGTAACTGAACTTGTAAGTTGCGGGCAACAAGTAGACCTCAGTTTCCCTTGCTTTTCCCTTAATCAAGGCATGTTACCAAATTTCATTTTATGGTTCTGGGTGCATGCTACTTGATCATGTATTCTGTTAATTTTTCAGGAAAAACACTGGTGATATCCAAGGAAAACCAACAGATCCCAATGAAACGGCACCCACTGACCAATAGAACTCCCCGCCACCATGCATATATCATTCATCAAAAATTCAATCTAGAGGAACAGCTAAACTCATGTTTTAGTTTTTGCTAGATTTTTGACAGCAATAAGTGCAGGGAAACCGAAGAAATAATCCAATAGAGTTTAGATAAGGAAGAAAAAGGGGAAATGAATGGAGCGAAAAGAATATACATACCCAGGCTTTGAACGTTTTTGGTTTTCTTCTTCTGCGTTCTTGATAGATCTTCTTGACGGGCTACCCCTCCTCGTAGAACTACCGCAAGTGGTTGGCCTTTATCTACGAGGTATGATCACCCTATCTATAATTGTCGCAATGGTTTCTATTTAGAGACGTCAAAAGGTGGTCCTTGGTCTTGTTTCTTGTCTTTATTTGATGATTGCGCGTTAATATTATTTTATTATTATAAATAAAATATTATGAATTAAAAATATATTTATAATACAAATTAAATATTATTTAAACAAAATTTAGCTATTCAAACAACTGGTCACCTTTTAACCTTTTTAAATAGTTTTCATCAACTTTTTATTTAACACGCATCACGTCATAAAAATATTTTAAATAATATTTTAAATAATCCTCTATCCAAACACTCACTATTATGATAGATATGAACACTACATATTAAATACAGACATTAATGTAACTAGATGATGAAATTCAATAAATTTTTTAACATAATTTTAATATAAAATAAATTTTATTATATTTTTAGCTACATCTACTATTTTAATTATTTTTAGAATGTCTACATAATTTTATGCCCTGCCGTCACCAGGTCACCACTGGCAACAGATCCTTCACACACTACCTGACGGATGCGGTTGTTCTGACAACCGCTCCGGAAGGTATAATACCATTTATACATGATGTAATATCATTTGTACAAGGTGTAATAATAGAACAACAGCGAGTAACACTAGAACAACATTTTTGTGAATCCCACATGATGTGAAAATCGAATTACAAAATGTGATCTGAACCACACAAATTTTTGAGACCTTATCCAGGTCGTGAACTGCCTCCAGCCCCTCGTCCCTACCCGACGTTGCCAAATGCCAGCTAAGAGTCTTAAGTAGCTGACGTTGCCATCAGACTTCCAGAGGAATTCTGCACCCCTAGTAGTCCTTTCACCTACATATCCAATTTGCAAGTTTGGCAATCATGATGAGAGGCCTCTTGGCCAGGACTTTGGAGATTTTTTTTTTAAGTGAAAATACTCGAATCAGGATTTGCACTCCCTTTTTTTTTTTTTTTTAATCATTCAACTCGTCCCTTCTCTCACAAGATTTCGAAGCGTCGAAATGAGAGCGGGAATACTAAAGAATAATTTTTTATACATTATCAATATATACCCTAGCAGGTCTTTGGAGTGTAGAGTAGATTAAATTTTTATTCATTATTAGTATAGTGAATTTTTTATACTAACAAGTATAGATGTGTACCGCCTGTGCAAAAAGTGAATTTCAATTTTAAAATTAGATTACATATCATGCTTCTAAACCTGCTGATGTATAAATTGACAATGCATAAATGAAATTATTCATAATAAATTGCTACATTTTTTATTTAAGAATTGGAATGAACTTATTAATATAAATGAGTTAATCAAATTGAAGCTTAAACCAAAAAGGAAATAAAGAACATTTTTGATGATTATATGTGCTTAAAACGGCTTATTATTTATTCTAATTGCATATTATTATTTTTCTTCACCAATCGTGAAGTTAGTTTAATCAGTTATAATATCTTGTTTTGATCTTATAAAAAATGATTGACATGAAGCTGAAAACAAATCTGAATATTATAAGAGCATCTCCAATGAAGTATAATAAGGAGTGCAATGCCTGACAAAATATGGGTCCATTACATGGCCAACCATTATGGTCGTGTAATGCCCATTACACGCATCATTCCGATGATGCATGTAATGGGTGGGTTAGTCAGGGTCAAAATTTGGCAGTCTGACAAAATTTTGCCCAGAAATCTTGAAGGCTTCAACGTTCATTTTTTGCAACGGTTATGTTTTTGCAACGTTCATTTTTTTTCCAACGGTCATATTTTAATTCTCTATATAAACACACAACACACTCTTTTTTTTTCCATAGCCCACTATTCTACTCTATTATTTATTTTACTCTCTCACTCATTTTCCTCAACCTCTTTGCACAATTTTTTAAAATTTCAATATTTTGTGATTATGGATGAAAATTTTAGTAGTTTTACAAATATGTTAAATGCTCCAAATATAGAAAATTCATCATCCTCACAAAATCAAAATCCCCAAAATTTTCCAAATTACCCATTTTCTAGTATTCCTACAAATGTGCAAAATTATGCATATCCCCTAAATTTATCCACTTCCAATCATCCATCAAATTTCCAAAATCTACCAAATTTTTCATATCCAATTCCCATGTATACTCCACCTACTTATTTTTATTCAAATATGGAAAATCACTACACATTGGGGTATTATAACTTTGGTATGGGTTGTGTAGGCTCAAAAACTCCGTCGGAGATAAGGAAGGATTTTGACTTCGCCGGCCAACAAGAAAATGCTGCATCAATGGAATCAATGTCAGACTCTCAATTTCCACCATATTCAACACAACGTGGGGTGGATAACATTACTCTCACCAATGAGGCGATGGAAGAATTTGATTATAAACGCATTCCATGGAGTGTGGATGATGACAAGATGCTTGCAAGTGCTTGGCTCACAATTTCTAATTGTAGCATTGTGGGTAATTCTCAATATAATGAGAGTTTTTGGAAACGAGTCACGGACTACTTTAACGAGAATCGGCAATTTGGACCGCCAAGAAAATATAAAGCTGTGAAATCACATTGGCATTGGTTAAGTCGAATGGTCAATGAATTCAACCAATACTACAACAAATTGGTTGAAGAACATCATAGCGGATGGAATGATGATCAGATCAAACAACATGCACGAGAGCTTTTTCACCAGCATAAGAATAAGCATTTTTTACATGAACATGTATGGGTGTTGTTGAAAAATGATTCGAAATGGAAAGCAAATACTCCTATGCAGCGTTCTTCAAAAAAGGTAAGGACTGATGAAAGTGGGGCATACACTTCTTCATCCAATACGGATTCAAGTTTTGACATCGATAACAGTGAAGTACGTGAAGTTCGTCCACTTGGTCAAAAAGCAGCAAAAAAGGAAAAGAGAAAGGGAAAATCAAAAAAGAATGAGCAAGACGTGGGTGGAGAACTTAGTCAAATCCGGATCATGTTGAAAGAGCACAAAGAAGAAAAATTGCAAGCTATGGAAAACTTAGCAAATAAGTTAGACAATTATAATTTCCGAAGTGATTATGAAATCCTATTGAAGGATACCACAGGCATGTCCGAGCAGCAGCTTAAAATTCATGAGCATATGTGTTCCATCCTAAAAGCCAAGTATAATATTTCTTAGTTTAGCTTTAATTTCATGGTTAATAATGTAATTTTTTAATTTTCCATTTTGCATTTGAGTGCTTAATAATTTGTTTGCATTTGAGGTATCACATATTTGTTTAATGTTCTGCATAATTATTTTTCAAAAAATAACAATATATTATTTTTGAGAGATAGAAAAAGATATATTGTTCAAACTTAGAAATTAGTAATATTATTTTTAGAAAATAAAAAATTCAAAATGTAAAAAATTTAATGAAAGTTAATACTTTATTTTTTAAAAATAACAAAATTATTTTTAAATATTACTTTATTTATTTATGGGATATGAGTTATGCATTATTAAAATAAATGTTTGATTTAATTGTGGATCCATGCGATTATACCTTGTGGAGTGTAATTCATTGTAATTGGAAGTGTAATAAAAAAGGAGAAAGTGAAATGCTGACGTGGCATGTGGATTACACTCTAAAGAGTATAAACCATTGTGGATGCTCTAATAGTAATTCCAAACACACTCTATTATGAGATCTAGCATTGACTCTTGACCACCACTTTTGAACTTTTTTTAATAAATCTTTTTTTTCTAATAAAGAATGAAATTTAAAAAGCAAAAAGAGAGAAGAGAAATTTGAATCTAAAATTTTTAAGTTCTTGGTTTCAAAACCGCCACCCTTCAACTAAACATATAGTAATAATCGTCTTAAGGTTTAAGACTAATTTATCAAAAATTTGGAAGGAAATTGATTTTTTTTTTTTTGAACTTTTGGGAAGTTTGTCTCTCTTCGCCAACTTACACGTGTTTTCTACGAGTCTAGGTTCAACTATCAATGTCATGGCCTTGTTTGGCAGCCAAGTTTTTTGCCAAGTTTGTATAAGTTTTTTAAAAATTTTAGCTACAATAACCTCAAAAAACTTCTCAAAATTTTTAAACTATACACTTCAAAATATTCAAAAAAAAAACACTTCAAAAATTAATTTTTTTAAAAACTTCTACAGTAAGTTACAATAAAATTTTAGACAAACATTCAAAAAACTCACTTACCAAACGGGACCATCATCTGTCTTCCAGCTACTTTAAGATGAGAGACTACTCACTTCACATTCTCCACTCTTCTATGATGCAAATAAAGGAAAATAAAATCATCAAATCAAAGTTTTTCTGTTCTGAAGAATATCTTCAAGATTAATGGAGATTGGATCTTTGATTGATATCCATCATTAACAAGAAATGCTACATTGATTCTGGAAATTATCTGAGAAAATGTTGACCCTTAGATTATGGAGTTCATTATTATAACCTCTCATAGTTTAAAATGATATATATTGGACCCTAAAGAATTAACTAAACAACGAATTTTTTTTATCTCAAATTCCATTTCTGAGCAAAAATTGGCTGCACATTGCTTGCTAATTATTAAAGTAAAACAAATGAAACCACACAAATTCCCTCCCAAAAATATAGGCATATTGCGTGCCTTAATGTGCATTCTTGAATCCAGTAAATGCTAAATGAACACACACACACACACATACAGAGAAAATTAAGGATGGCAATGGGACGGTGTTGGGGCGGGGGATCCCTTCCCTGCCCCTCTCTTCTCCCGCTCCGTCCCGCTTTTTCCACAAGACTAATAAAAATTTGTTATATAATTTTATTATAGTTAAATTTTAGCAAATAATCAAGTACTAAAATATCAATACATCACCAAGTTATTATTCATTGTAATTTTATAATTGAAACTCATAAAAATAATCAAACAAAAGTTATTCGAATACAATCCAACATGATGAAATAAATACAATTAAAGTAGTCAAGTTTTCACTCTTTGCACAAAT